TCGAGAGCTCATCAAACACGTGTATTTAGGGAAGAGCTGAAGTTCAGAGAGAGAATTGAAACCTGGACAGTGGACAAGAGGAGTGTTATCATAGATCGATGAATCGATTGATCGATCGATTGGTCAGTTCAAGACAAGTCAATTCAAACAACAACTGAGTAGCTTACCTGAGCATCTCATCCACGGATACAAGGACCCTGTGACGACTCGTGAATCGTACTGGGTGTTGCCGGAAATTGCTCCTGGAAAGTGACACATGAGCGAATGGGGGCCGGCATCAGGTGCAGTGGCAGGGGTATGATGGTTGGTTGCTGTCGTCGAATAGGCGCAGCTGCCAAACATGGCGTCATGAGCGCCTGCGGCCAGGAGGTCGAAACGAGGTATGAAATTTTTCACGTGACTAGCTGCTGCCACAGCTGCTGCCTGAGAGTACAAAGCAGCGGCAGGGTGCGATGGATGCGGTTGGGACGAATTGGCTGCCGCAGCTGCAGCGGGACCGGGGCCTGATATATTGGCTGCCATTTCAGGACCATAGCCCCCACCGACAACCTTTTCCCCAAACATTTCGCATCCATAACCTCCTCGTCGGCAGTCGTTATTGGATGAGTGGTGAACACTGGCTGGAAACTGCGGGGATTGAAGACCCAGAAAGGCGACTGCTGCAACCGCTGGATCACCATGGGCCTGCAATCTCACCTGCTGCCAATAATTGCCGTCGTCATTCCTTCCGGGTGGTGGCCAGTTGTGACGATGATACATTTAAACCAACGACAACGATTCACACAAGGAAAACCATAAAGTCAGCGATACATAAAAATTCATTCCACTGTGACTAGGCTGCAAGCGGCGGAATCGACCGATGCGGCATCATCAAAGGTTGGCACGTGATCAACATTGGCCAATCATTTAACGCCAGCGGCCATCTGTATCGAATTTATGCTATTGGCGAGGCAATAAAACCTGTCGTAAAATTTAATTGCTTCCAGCTTCGTCAGGCCAAAAAGGCTTTTGGAAGTCATAATTCACGAAACTCACGACTGAGACTGTCACAAATGATGAACCGAGATGTGTCACGTTACCCAAGTGACTAAATTTTGGTGCCAGGGTGCAGTGAGTTGGGCGAATGAGACGCGCCAGAGTCTTTTAGCGCATGACGACCTGGTCGAACTTCTACAAGGGCGGCAATCTTGAAAGAAACTATTACAGTAAGCCGATAGAAGTTGCCGCCTACAGCTGGAGGAAACGACCGCCTCTGCCTCATTTTATTGGACAGTTCTGGAAAGGGGTGGATCTAGATAGCGGCTCTACTGCCGACTGTCTCGCCGAAAGACGTTTATTGTGACAACATAAATCTTGACAAAGGATCGGACAAAATGCGCGTTTCTCCAAACAGAGGAAAGTCGTAAAACTTCTCCCATCGTAAATTCTGAATTTGCCTTCTAGCAACCCATTGCTCAGCTGTTCCTTCACTGATAAAGCAGGCACGGGAGTGGGTCTGAGGCGACATCTCTGAAACACGTTCAGCGATAGACCGGTACAATTTTAAGAATATGCTGCACTTGTCAAACGAAGCGTGGATGTTCGAATTTTAAAAATTTTTCAGCAAAATGATTTTTCTGAAAATAGCTGCAGTTTGCTTAGAGTCTTGATGCTTCCAAATTATTCAAGTAAGAGGGCGATATTTCGAAAAATGTAATGAAGCAACTGTTATGGCAAACGATTGTCGATGCTCTCATATCTTCCGTGAATGGCAACAAACCTGATGGCATTTTTTTGTTTATCTAGGCCCTTGAATTTTGTAAATATTTCGATTTTCGTTTTGATGCGACCATGCAGAATTCTGGCAAAACAACGAGAGAGAGCGAAACAGTATGATAATCGGATTGAGTTTTCCATGTGCAGTTCTGAAAGGTAAATGGTGAAGAGCTCGTGCAACTTATTTCAGGAAGGTAATCATTGCCAATGTAACAAATTTTTTGAAGAAATGTAGTTTCCCAAAAACAACGTAATTTCCATAGCACCAGTGTTATCATTCTAGAAACATTTTACGAAAGTGAGAAATAATGAAAGTATAACATCTTATGTTGGAAACTTATCGATCCGTTGCAACTGGCGTTAAGAAATCTTGTTATTGATCGCTAGAGGTTGGTACAAGAGCATCCGTTTGAAATTTGGCCTTTCGCTCTCCTGCGTGGCAAAGTTGGCTGATCTGATAGATCACTTGAAGCTTCAGGAGTTGTGGCAGAATTAGCACTGCGAACACCTTGGAACTGGAAACGAATCTGCAGTCACATCATCGCTGTTGCCGTTGTCATCGCCATCAAACACTCTCAGCAACGCAGCTGCTCCTCAGCGTCAAATTTGACAGCGACGGGCCTTCCTCAATTATATCAGCTAGGATCATTCCGATGACAATTTTGGCGGTTGCTGAAAACGAAGTTCTCATGCCAGCTCTTCCTAACTGGACATAGCATGTCACACCAAAAACCTCTAGGCGATATAAACGGTATAAAACCGTACCCTTCGCGTTGAGGGTGTTAGCACGACTTCTGGGAGATATCCAGGTCGTGACAGGTTGGCAGCGTTTTTCTCTACACCTCGTCTACTTCTAGGAGACCAACTGAAAATAGGCGAGATTTAAACATGAGGTCGCGCGATATGCTCGCGGCGGTGCCACATTCATACATATGAAGAAACCCGTCTGGTGACGAACAACACTGTTAACACATCAGCCAGATTTACAATACCATTCGAAGAATCGTTGCCAGTCATCAATCAAGCACATTTGGAATTAAAGCCAAAAGGTATTCGGACACTGTCTTAAAAGGTAGTAACTGATCGCTAAACTCCTATCAACTAAAAAATAATAAAACAACTCTACTAGCATTTATTAAGTTAATTACCATTGTCACAGACAGCCGCGTTGACTTGCGAGACCTGCAACAGGCCTGGACTCAGCACCAGTGGCAGCTGCAATCCTTTTACGTAAACGCTTCGGGTCTTGTCTCAGTCGTCATCGCCGCGGAGACGACGACGACCTTCAGCGATTCCTCGTCAATATGGTTACGGTAGTTAAAGAGCTATGGCGGGTACAAATGTGTGGCTGCCGCCAGCCCGTTTCTACCTAGCAGTAACGTAAGGCGTAGAAGAAAAGCAGAGAGGCAGCAAAATTCGACAAAGAAATTACTTTGGGCTTGGACGATCGAAGAACGGAAGACGTGTCGGAAGTACGGTGCAATTCAAATACTCAGAAACTAGCTTCTCGCTTTGCCACATCTGCGCAAGAGGATCTGTTTATTTACATTAGGATAAGACAATCGATTTCTGAAAGTGTGAAA